ATTTCGAGCTCAAAAAGTGTGTTTGTGTTTGGCTCATTGCTTAGCGAGCCAAACACCTTATTCACGAACAAAGAGTCGTTTTGACAACCCTAATCACATAGTCATAAAATGTTAAGGATCGGGGCAAGATTTAAAACATCATTTGAATCTAATTTAATAATTTTTATTCTATTTTCTTCATTAGTTCTGTATATGTAAAAATGCCCCAAATACAAATATATAAAATGAATAATAATAAATATTAATTATTTCGAGTCGAAAAGGGGTGAAGATGATCACACAAGTGTGTGCTTAGCTCCTTCATAAATTTAGCTCAAAATTTTTGGTTGTGTTCTGTTCATTTAACGAATATTTCAAACATGAATTTTTTAAAGAGCCGAACATGAATAGTGTGGTTATTTTGAGACTGCTCTAATATTCATGTAAGCTTGCCTGGAAATCAGTTATGACCAAACAAGTCATCATATTTTCGCCTTTTTATCTGTAGGTGGTCATCACTAAATGCTTTCATCTATTTTGCAATCCCTGCATTCAAAGAAATCTGGAAATCCGCCATAGGAAGTGCCCTGGTTGCGGAACTCCATTTGGGCAGAACGATGTTCGTGAGGTCAACATATGAAGTCGAATACAGTATGTTTTCTTTTCATTTAGGGAGATAACTGGTATAAAAACATGTGCAGGTAGTGATAATAATCTGCTCTACAATAATGCTTCCTTTCATTATAATTTTTTCTTTAATTGAGATGTCTGGTGTATGTAGCTTTCCTTGAATACATAAATGTGCGTTCATCCTATGATTGTAGGCAAGCCGTCTCACGTAAATCATCCTTCCTTGCCATCAAGCTCGCGGCACACAATATGTCGTTGCATGCATCATTGTCTTCATATGTGGAACCCATGACTCATTGTGTCCTCTCAAATCCAGATATGTCATTAGCCTAGCATGCAATGTTGAGCCTGGAACCACTATTTGTTTGCATGCTACATTGTACCTACAATTGATGCATAACCCCAAGCCTAATCTCATGAACCATATAGTTGTTTTTGTCATCTTCATCATCGTTGGGCCTCCATTTCTGTCCTAGATTAATCTCATCTATTTTTACTTAATAAAAAAGGAAAATGCATTTTTGTAAATTTCATTTCCAACCAACCAAATAATATTGAAAATTTTTAATTGCATTAGATTTATTTAATGTTTTGTTTAAAATACCCATAAATTTTAAATGCATAAGTCAAATAAGTCCTTAATAGCCTTTTTTTGTTATCCTTTATTATTATAATTTTTTTCTAATTTTAAATGTTTGAGGTAGCCATGCCATTCATCATTTCCAAAAAAAGGATAAGATGAAATAAAAAAAAATGTCTCACTAGTGTATACCCCCACCTATCTCATTTTAGTTCTTTACTGAGAATTTTAGACTAAGACCTCTTCAATCCTTTTAGCAAGTTCTTCATCACATATCTGCTGAATTTTGGTTTGGTTCCAACTGTCATTGTTAATGAGAACTGCAACTTCGCAATTTTCGAGCGTCTGAACATTAATAATAC